ATAGATAGATAGATAGATAGATAGATAGATAGATAGATAGATAGATAGATAGATAGATATAGATGTAGATATATATGTAATCACAAGACTACATCTGATTTACTTTGGGCATGTCATGCATGCAAATTCATTGGAGAAGTCAATGAATGGTTAGTGGACAAAGAAGAAGGGGCAAACAAAGAACATGCTGGCTTGATAACATTAAAACTGATACAAAGATGAATATCCAACAACTGAAAGAAATTGTGTTTAACGGGGTAGCATGAGGAGCACTTGCTTATAAAGTCACCAAGAATCGGACATGACTGAATGGTTAAAACAATAACCATAACTGTATGTAAGAGAGGAAAGGACATAGTCCTGCCCATAAGCATCTAATGAAAGAGACTAGTATCACATATGTCACAATGCCATGATATAAACGTTGCAAATGTATAATTTGTGTCTGAAATTACATATTTTACATACATGAATTTTGTAAAGATGGCATCTTTTTCTTCTGTTTCCCTACAGACAGCATCGGTCCCTCCCTTCTCAGTCACCCACTTGCTTTGCTCCTAAGGCTGGCATACTACTCAGTTGGCTCTCTGCTCCACATTTTGCTTTGGGGCTCCTCTTAGTCATTACTGCCATCATTTTATGACAGGATCACCCTCTCCCCATGGTAGCTGTAGTTCCCGTGACTGATACACTCTAAACATTTCAAGAAACTTTTCTGCAGCTTTAATTCCCAGTGCTATTCTTGATTCTCTCTCCAGAACATGCATGGACAGAAAGAAGGCGATGGAGGGGAGGCAAGAGGTAGAGAGACAAGGCTGTGCGATTCATTATTAGTATTAAAGATTACACTTGGTTATGATTTCTCATAACTAAAAAAACAGAAGGAGTGGCAATTCTGGGGTTTAAGCATCCCAACTCCAACCTGTTAGCTCATTTCAGGCTGGAAAAGGTTTTTGTCAGTTCTACATTACAGAATGTCCTTTTATTTATTAAAATATTTACAGAATGCCAACTATCAAAGAGAGATTTGCAAAACATACAGTGATAACAGAGATAATACAGTCATTGTTTTATTCATTTAAAAGCCTGAGTAAAAAAATTAATGTTTCCAAAGGGAAGGAGTTTAGGAAGAAGTGCTTTAAAGAGTTTGGGTGTGGCTACTAAGCTATCCTGATGCCAAGTAAGCATTACACAAGTGACACTAACAAAGGTTATTGTTTCACATTAATTTTAAGAAGTGGTAGAGTTATAAATGGTAGCATAAATTCTTAAGAAATATTTACAGCATTGGATTTGGCACTGCTAGGAATAAATCTACTGGTTGAAAGTATGGCTTTGGTTGGGGATCATTCACTTTTTTACTTGATGAAATACTGCCTCTAATACTCAGATCCCAGAAAGGCATCAGAAATGAGCAAAGGGTGCGGCAAATGAAGAAGCTGGTCAGTGTTGAATCTGTGACCAAAACTCCGTTTCTATGAGATCAATTTGTACATATTTCTAAGCCACCTGTTGCTTCCTGATAAAATGTGGTTTTATGAGTCATACAAGTCACCTCAGCAGACCAAGCCTTTGTGGAGGACTCTCACTCCAGCCAGATGAAATAGGATCCCTCCCCACCCTTTTAAACTAGAGATGTTGACATAATCATTTCTCCGTTGCCACAAAGCAGAAACATAGCCGAGGCACAATAGTCAAGGCAGAGAGCTCCTCTGCCAGTTAGCTTTTATTGTGCATTAAATGCCCTGTTAATTCAATAAATCCCATTTACTTACAAAAGGAAATGCTATTATAGATTTAGCCTTTAAAATAACAGTTAATTAAACAAGTTCACTCTTTCCCTTAAATGGCTTTTAGCTCTGGGGGAAAAACAACTGTCCTTTATTTTCTCAATGAGTAAAAACCTCAGACAAAAATTCTTTTTAAGGGCCACAGAAATAATTTTAAGGACCAGGATTCTTGCTGCATTTATAAAAGCTAGCAATTTGGGGTTACTCATACCCAAAATAATCTTTAATTTTAAAGAAACAAACAGAAGCCAGAATCTCCTGTAAAATGAGCAACAGAAAGGAGCTTTGCAAAGGTATATATATTTTGTTACAGTTTCTCCCCTATGAATTGGAGTAATATGAAGTAATACTCCTACCATATGTTGTTGTGCTATATAAATACCCAAGGGCAAAATCCACATGCAACATGTTGAATATGAGCAAACCTGAGGACAAAATAAATCACATAGGAACTGGTAATCTAATATTTTTCTTTCCTGAGGATATGTATCCAGAGATGTAATCAGCCCAGAGAGCCAAACAGTTAATTGCCAAGCTCCCAAACCTAAATATAATCTTCTGTCTTGTGTACCTAGACATCCTTAAGAGAGTCACCTTGCTCAGAGTGTACATCCATGGATCTACTTGAGAAAAATTGCATGTGGTGGGAACCTATGGATCAAAACTATAAAATGTAGGAAAAAAATTATGAATATAAAGTGATTTAAATGAGACATCAGTGTCAATCCAGATGTCCCTACATAAATACAAATTAATAGTTGCACTGCTTTAGATTTGGAACTTAATTTGATTTATTGATTACTAAAATGATACCCCCATCTTCCTGCTTATATAAGCCCTCAGAACAGCTCGTAGTCTAACTATAGTCTTTCCTTCTCACTCCAGTTTAAATCTCAGAAGAAGGCAACCAACTATAAACATCCTTTCTGCTTATGACCAAACATAAGGCAGACAGGCTTTGGAACATTTCTGTCAAATCAAAAGGCTGAATAGAAGGAGTGCATGATAGACTCCAGAGAGATGCTTGCACACGGCACTTATTCTTGTGTGAGACACCCCTTGAGAAACCCCGGTATATCTTATGAAAAGAGGTCAACCCATTGCTTCTTCAGGCTGTGGCAGCCCTTAATCCTGATTCTCCTCATTGCCAATAGCTCCAGACTCCCAACGCTGGATTAAGGCACTCCTCTGGCGACGCAGGAGTCGAGGACTTCTCTCCACCTATGGGGTTGAATGGGGGGGAGGGAGGAACAGGAAGCAACACATGAAAAAAGCAAGTATGCAAATTATAAGTGCAAATATGCTGCCATGACTAGTTCAGAACGAACTAAAACACTCAGCATAATTTTCCCTATTGAACTAATATTTATTTTTTCCAACCTCCAAAGGACACCATTTGATTGCACTGTCAACATCAGTAGTTGCCTTTACTGGGCAATGATTATGATCCTAGCATAATTCAAAAAGTAATTCAAAATTTTATTAATTCATAAAACTTCATTATGTGCCTAATATACCCTTTATAATATGCTTTATTGCAAATTAAGCTTTTTCCTAGATCTAATCTTAAAAGGGAAAAATTTCCAAATCATGCCACCTCAAATGTTACTGTGGTTTGGGAATCATGGTTTCTATTTGCCAGTTCACAAGTCTATGCAATGCAATACTGCCTTGAGTTGTTTGCAAAAATAATAAAGTCAGGAAACAAATAAATCTGGAGGATGGCTGGATTCAGTGGATGCACATCACAGCAAATCTATCAGGATTACTGCTTTAGCATTTGAAGAAGAAAATCCAAACAGGATTTGCTTCTCCTCCTAATGGAAATGGGAGCTGGGTATGTCATGCTTTCTCATATTACACAAAAAAGCTCACATGCTTAAGACCAAGTAAGTTTGTTCCTTTACACTTACACTATTCAAAGTGGAGACTGGCAAGGTGATTGATTTATGTGTGACAATCTGAGCCCCATTCAATTTTACGCCACGATGGACAGCAGTAATGGGCTACAATTAGATTGTAATCTGCCAACGGACCACAGTTCCCCTAATTTTTGATGGTGAAACTTCTCACGGTTATTTCCTAACAAGATCATGGGTCACCTGTTCTGGCAAAACTACACTGGCTTCCTTAGCAATTTTAGCCAAATTTAAGCTACACAGAGATTTGTTGCCAGTTTGTCTCTAACTTCCCTGGAAGTACTGTAGGAACTAACCCAGAAGGAGG